ACTGCTGCAGACACTCTGGAAAACAGTATGGAGGTTCCTCAAAAAATTAAAAATAAAACTACCCTACAACCCAGCAATTGCACTACTAGGTATTTATCCAAGGGATACAGGTATGCTGTTTTGAAGGGAAACAAGCACCCCAATGTTTATAGCAGCACTATCAACAATAGCCAAAGTATGGAAAGAGCCCAAATGTCCATCGATGGATGAATGGATAAAGAAGATGTGGTAAATATACATACAATGGAGTATTACTCGGCAATCAAAAAGAATGAAATCTTGCCATTTGCAATTACGTGGATGGAACTGAGGGTATTATGCTAAGTGAAATTAGTCAGAGAAAGACAAATATCATATGACTTCACTCATATTACTTTAAGACAAAGAACAGATGAACATAAAGGAAGGGAAGCAAAAATAATATAAAAACAGGAAGGGGGACAAAACATAAACTCTTAAATATGGAGAACAAATAGAGGGTTGCTAGGGGGGTTGGGGGATGGGCTAAATGGGTAAGGGGCGTTAAGGAATCTACTCCTGAAATCATTGTTGCACTATATGCTAACTACCTTGGATGTAAATTTAAAAATTAATTAATTAATTAAAGAAAAGAGTCAGATGCTCAGCCAGTTGAGCCATCTAGGTGCCCCCTCAAGGCATGAGATTTAATTCAAGCTGTGCTTAGTGGGAAATTTCATAACCTTGAGTGCACTTAAAAAATAAGCAAAAAAAAATTTTTTTTTTCAAAATATCCCTTTCAAATAGTAAAAGAATAAGAAATTAAGGCAACTAGAAGGAAGGGATAAGTAAAAATTAATGAAATAGGGAGGAAATGTGCATATAACACAGTCAACAAAGCAAAAAGTTCTTTGAAAAGACCTCCTCCATGGAGTGTTCAAGGACAAAAAGAGAATTATCAAGAATTAAAAAAAAGGACACAGGAATTCTGATCCCACAGTCATTTAAAAAGATAGGAGAATGATATTAAAATTTTTTTGTGAACTTTAGATACAGAACTTCCAAAACTGACATAAGAAGAAACAAAATATTCTTTGGATAGCTATTAGGGAAATTGAGTCTGTAATGAAAAACTTTCACACAAACACTCTAGACCCAGATGGCTTCACATGTGAATTTCAGTAAAAGTTTTAGAACTAATGCTAAACTTAAACTGTTTTAGAAAGAAGGAAGGCAGAATATTCCTCTTTTTAAAAACAAGACTAGCATAATCTTGATCTCCAAACCTGACAAAGATACTATAAGAGCAAAATCAATTGGACATCCAGTCTCAGGAACATTGATAAACAGTGTATAAGCATCTGAACTGAGTTTATTTATTAAATAAAGGTAAAGTTGGTTGGTTAACACCTTCAGAAAATAAACGAGTAAAACATACAAAGGGGTATCAGTTGGAAAGGAGAAGATAAAACTATTATTTGTAGATGATACTATTATATTTAGAAAACCAAAAAGTATCTACAGGTGACACACTAGAGCTAATAAGTGAGTTTAGCAAGTTTGCTGAAATGAACTCAGTACATAATTACCAATTTTAATTACACTAGGGCCAATTAGAAAATGAGAATTTAAAAACTGCCATTTACTATAACATCTAAAATCAAGAAATACCTAGGAGCATATTCTAAGACAGTTCTTACCCTTCATCTGTAGAGAAGTATAAAATATTAAATGAAATTAAGACCTAAATGGAGAGGTAAACTGTTCCCTGATTGAAGAATCAGTATTGTAAATATAATGCTTTTGGCCAAAGTGATGTGTAGATTAAGCACACTCGTAAGCAGATCCCAGGAGCCTTTCTTTTTTCCAGCTTTAGCAACAGAGATTTATATAAAAATGTCAGAGTCCCGAATAGCTAAGAGAATTCTGAAGGACAGCCAGAGGTGGAAGACTTATACTATCACTTTTCAAGAGTTATTATTTTCAAAGTTACAGCATCAAAGCAATATAACTGAATGCAAAGGCAAAGAAATAGATCAGGTGAGAGATTCCATAAACAAACCCATACATATATTACATACATGGACACAGGTGGTATATCAGTGTTGTTACTGCCAAACCATGGGAGATGCAATTTTTTTTAGTAAATGTTCCCACATCAGTTGAAGCTCTATATGGGGGTAGGGGAGGGGGAGAAAATAAACTTGATCTCACACATCCTCAAAACCAGTACATGAATTACATATATATGTACATGAATTAGTGATCTGAATGAACCTTCAGGATGGTATAAGAGAGCATCTTCATAAAGAGTCTCTTCAAGATTGAGGCAGGCAAAAATTTACTTAAGTTGGACAAAGAAGGCACCAGCCAAAAAAGATGAGACCAGATGTGGACTCTGTCAAAATTAAGTCAAAAACACCACTAAAAGGAATGAAAAGGCAAGAAAAAATAAAACTAGTGGAAAATATTTGCAATATTTAAATAATTGACAGAAGACTTACTCAGTATATATAAGGAACTATGAATATATCAATAAGGGGAAATGTATAGCCAAGTAGAGCAATGTGCCAAATGGCTGAACAGGAAATTCACAAAAAGAAAGAACGCCGTTACAAATATTATACCATGTTCAACCTCATTAGTCTTTGAAAAAAAAAAGCAAAATGAAATCACAGTGAGATACCACCATGTAACCTATCAGAATGGTTTAAATAAAAAAAGAAATTACTAAGTGCTGATAAGAATATGGAGCCCTGGAAAACTCACAGGCAAGTACAAATTAGTTCCAACTACTTTGAAAGCTATTTGACAATACTTAGTAATACTGAAATTTTCGTATCCTTCTGGTTGAATCCTATACCCAGTAGAAAGGCATACATAATGTTCGCATCAGTTTTATAGAACGAAATTACAAACCAACCCAAACGTCCCTTGACGGTGGAATGAATAGACTGTGTAATAGTATATAGGAATGGCAGACATCAGCTATACCAAATACAAATGAATGTGCAAACCGTTTTAACTCAAGATAGCCAAACATAAATATATACAATTCCATGTACATGAAGTTCAAAGCAGTCAAAAGTAATTTGTGGTGTTAGAAGTTAGGGTAGTAATTACCTTGAGGAAAGGATGAGTGGTTAATGGCTGGGCAGAAGCCACAGAGGCATTTCTGGGGTTCTCTTAAATTTCTGTTTCTCAATCTGCACGGAGGAGTTTGCTTTGCAAAATTTTACCACAATGTCCACTCGTCATTTGGCAGTTTATTGTTATTCAGAAAAAGTTTATGTTAAAAAAAGACATACCTATTGATACAGTTCTCCCCATTGGTGGTTCTGACCCCAAAGAAAAGGACCTGTCCCTCAAAACATATGTAGAAAGGACCATGAACCATCTCTGTTAGACGATAGGGTGTTTTACTGAAGCAGTGCTTATGATATCAGAAGTGCCTGTTCCTGAGAGAGTGGTTAAGTAAACCATGGGATATCCATTCTGTGGAAGGTTAGACATTCATTCTAAAGAAATTTTATATCCTAGCTGCAGAGATTTTTGTGTGATCTTGGAGAAGAGTAGAAAGGCATATTATTTGTTACCTGAGCTTGAAGGAGAATTAGTGACCAGTGCAGAGACAGTTCAATTTTTCAGGGTACTTCTTTGTTTAATTAAACTATTTCTTAGATGCTTTTACCACTGCTCCGTGGGGCACATCATTATGTTGACAGCAGACTCTTTCTTTCCTTCATCTTCTGTTATCTTATGGTGGTTATCTAACCTCAATTCACTGATTGGGCCATGAATGATTATGGCTTATAACAAGAAGATGAGTGAGAGCTTTCAAGAGAGCCTGGGCCTTCCCAGATAGTAGGTGACTCATACAATTGGAGAGCATGGCTATATCATGGGTATCATCTAACAGGATTATGAACACAAGTCACAGTCCTATGAGATACATTTATTCCTAACATAAGAGTACTGGCTTGTTTTTTTCTTTCGAGCGGGAACAAGAAAGTCAAATGGCTCGTCTTAAAAAACAGCAAGAAGAATTGGAACAGATGAGACTACGTTACCTGGCTGCTGAGGAAAAGGATACAGTCAAGACGGAGAGACAAGAATTGTTGGATATAAGGAATGAATTAAACAGGTATAATAACCAAAAAATTCCCTTTTTTTCCAGACACCAATGCAAGTTCCAGTAGGAAAACCTTTAATTGGCTATTGGTCCAAGGAAAGTACAATGTCAGAGCTTTAAGAAAAATGTAGTGGACTAGCAAAATAGAAAATCTACACTAAGGACCATTATGCTATTTTTTGCCATAAATGTAGGTGTATGTAGCTTTTTTGTTCCTATTCATCGCGTTAATCCTTTAAATTTTATTTTTGTGTGACTGCTGTAGGATTCTCGCTACTATTTCAAGGTAATTGATTACACCGAATTTTTAATAACATAAAAGTAAGACACTTCAAATCTAGTTGTATTATTAATATAAATAATAAAATTGCCCTTACTTATTGAGCCCTTACTACAGGCCAGGAGCTTTTATAAATGCTTTCTTGGCTAATTTTTTTTTTTTTTTAATCTTGAAAGCAGCTTTGTGAAGAAGATATCATCCCCGTTTACAGACGAGGAACCTGCTGATTAGAGATTTAAGTACCCTTTCCAAGGTCACATAGCTAGTAAATCATGGAGCCAGCAGGGTTCACATGTGATTCTGTGGCTGTGTTTTTAATTACTGTTCACCACTGGACTTCTCTGGAATGTCATGTTCATCTGAGTTACGATTTCAGCAGTAGTGCATGTCAGAAAAGCCATCATTAGAAAGCAGCATAAGAACAAATTACGGACTTTGGGGGAAGACTTTTTAAGTTAGTTGATCAAGCTACTAGTATTTTCATTTCAGCATAGCAAACCGTCTTAGCTTGGGCTGCCATCTGTACACTGGGTGGCTTCAACAACAGAAATTTCTTTCTCACAGTGCTAGAGGCTCAAAGTTCCAGATCAGGGGACCAGCATGTTGAGTTTGTGGTGAGGACTCTCTGGCTTGTACATAGCTGCGTCACACTGTGTCCTCCCACTGTCTCTAGTGTCTTTTCTGCTATGAGCAGGAATCCCAGCATGAGATCCCCACCCTTATGCTCTCATCTAAACCTACTCATCTCCCGAAGACCCTTTCTCCAAATACCATCACATTAAGGATGAGAGCTTCAGCACATTAACTTTGAGGGACACAAAATTCGGTCCACAGCACATACATTTGACAGATGCAGTCACTATTAGGTGGGTTCAGAGCTGAATTAAACAACTACACTTAGATATTTATACATAAATATCAGTTGGAAAAGGTTAAGGTCTGTCGTGCCATGCTGCAGGCTCCATTTTCGGATTTTCGTTTTTAATCACATATTTGGTGGTCACTGTATTGTAAACGTGGAAGATGTTACAAATTAGTAAGTAACATGATCCTCGCCTTCCAGCTTTTTGCTGCCATATGCAGCTAGTGCATGTTTTGGTTCTAGGCCACTCTATATTAAGCCTCTGCTACTTACTAAGCACGATTCTGTTGGCTGAAGATAGCCATTTGGTATCAAATTTGTAGGTCATGCAAAATTAAATCTTATTAATAAGATATTAAGATTATTAATCTCAAGAAATTAGGATTTAGAGAGAACTTAAACCAATAAGTAGATTAGAAACAAAAGCAGAGTCCTTATAAGAAAAACCTCTTAAGTGATGGGCAGGACATAATAAAACGGTTGATGTGAGGAAGCCGGGGAGGATTTGAGTGGCCACTAGTAACCGTGTGACTTGGCTGTCAAAGTGCCACTGCAGTTAGGGACATGGAGAGACGTGTTCAGTTACTCAGCACTGGTAAAACCACACCTGGGGTGTTCTTACCCACGTGCAACACGTTTTCAAGTCAGTCACCTACCTTGAGGGCTTCCGATGGAATGTGACCTAAAAGGTGGTTAGGAGAGTGAGGGATATTGAACTTGAGAACTCTAGGGCAGAGTATTAGACAGCTGTCTTCAAGTAGCTGGAGGGCTACCGAGCTAAAGAGAAGTCGGTGCCCTTCCTGAGCAGAATCATAGCCAGCTGTTGGAAAGGAGAAGCCTGGACACTAAGTTCTTTGTAAGAAAGAACTCTAACAGAGCAGTTGTACAGAGCAGTAGGTTCCTAGTGATAGAAACGTGCAGGTGGAGGCCAGACACAGTGTTTGTCAGGGATGTAGAGTGTCCTTTGACAACTTTATGGACTTTTTCAGCTATAAGGTTCTAAAGATCTACTGTGAGCCTGATGGGTGATTTGCATTTTAGTCAAGATGCAGTAGGGATAATCTATCACTTGTATAAAAATTCCATTTATCTTTCATGCATAAACAGATGAACATGAAAATGGCTGGAGTTTCTAATACATAGTTTGATGTCATATGTCATTAGTTTGCACAGAGGACCCCTTTCTCCAAGAGAACTATAAAAATCACAACAGGGGCGGCATCCATACGAATTGCTCTAATTTGTACCATTTTTCCATTAACCATTTGATTTCCACCCCTGTCCCAAACCACAGTGCTTTCACTACTTAGGCTTCTTCTCTCACAACAGATGGAGATGTTTGGTATCCTTCTTGGACTGTAGACTTCAGTTTCTTGTTCGTTTGTGGGGAATCTTGTTCATACACTTTGAACAGACCAAAGTGTATGCTGTCAAGAGTCCTGCACCCTTTCTCGGGGCTCAGTCCTCCTTGTCTGTGAGACCAGGACTCTCCTCACTGCATCTCCCCAACTCTGTCACTTCACAAGTGGATTTGGTTCTCATTGGCATGGTTACTCTAGAGACCATGCAGAAGCCGGGGCTCAGACTTAACTGCTTCATCCTTCTTATTTATAACAACAAAATTTAGGAGTAGTTGCAGATGAAAACATTTTTATAGCTACTTGCTAGAGGAATATGAGGTTCTCTCTTAATGGTATATTCTCAATTAAAACAAAACATATGCCTTGTCCAAACTTGGTATCACTATCACATAGTAAGTATACTAAGTATATGACATTTACAAGGCAGTGTGGTTAACAGTATTCCATCGGAAGTACCCCGATTCCAGTCTGATACCTGCTCCATTCTCTGTCTCCTGGATGAGGCATCACAAACATAATGTGAAGACTTGGCAAACAGAGTCTTCAAATGTACATGCCCTCTGAACCAGGCATTCACATCCGTACAGTTTCACTTTCTACAAATGCTCAGTGACCTCAGCTCCATAATGGAAAGTTTTCTTCATGATTCACTGTAGTATCCCCAAAACCTAGTACTGTTTGGTACATTTGTGGAATGAATGGAGAAGGATATTCTGTTCAAAACAACAACAAAGGTTTAACCACAACCTAAATATCAGCAATAAAGGATGATTAAGTAACGGTACATCCAAATGATGGAGTGTTGGGGAGCCCTGTAGAAGCACCCTTAGAGATGTAAGAAAACTTTTGTCATATTAGGAAGTGAAAAAAAATCATAGACAGCTTTGCCTGTATACTATCGTCAATGTTTTAGAAAAATATTTAAAATACACATGACTTTTTCATAGAAAATTATTACTTGGATGGGTTATCTAAAGGAAGATCATAATGATTTCATTTTCTTTTTTTGCACATTTCCAGAACGTCTACAGTTTTTATGTATTTCATTATTAGAAAAACAAATATTGTTTTCAAAACTGTCTTTGAAGAGTATGCTTACTCTGGCTAGCCAAGTCGAATGCTGGTTTTTGTCGTCTTCCTGAAAATCCTACTACAGACATAATTTACCATTAAGTCATTTTTTAAAACGGGGTTGTTAACAAAAAAATCAGAACCCAACATGGTATTTGCTGCCTGCTAGAGTGGTATTGGTTCTTGACTTCTCAGGTTAAGGCAACAAGAACAAAAACAGTACCAGGATTCCAGAGAGATTGCAAGTGGAAAAATGGACAGCCCACGTGGCAACCCATTGGAAGAAGGTTTGGATGATTATTTGACTCGACTCATAGAAGAAAGGGATACTTTGATGCGGACGGGTGTGTATAATCACGAGGATCGAATAATAAGCGAACTAGACCGACAGATCAGAGAGGTTTTGGCAAAACACAATGCCAGTAATTAATAACATTTGGAAAATCTTTACAGAGACTCCAGGCTTAAATTTTAATTTCGTTGTCAAACTCTCAAAAGAAGAGAAAATGGATGTTTTAAAAACCTATTTTCAATTTTTTACAAGGAGAATTTTGTATGTTATTGTACAGTATTTATTTGATTTTATTTACCTTATGCTATCTCTCCCACCCTGGTTTTGTCATTGCATTTTATACACTCACTTTAAATGACTTTTCATTATTTCCCATAATTTATGATTTCATGGCTAACTTTCAGAACAGCTTTTCATGAGATTTGTTCTTAGAGAAATGACTATGGTAGTTTCCAGTTACCTAATTTTTCATGTTGAGCCAAAAGAGTCTATGTTGCACTTTAAAAAAGCCGTGTCCTATTCATTTGAATATAGAGATCTCTCCAATTTTATTTAACTCATGTTAGATGGCCTGTGTTTTTAACTTGTAACTATTTGCCAAGGACAGGTTTGACAACAGAAAACAGGATCGATGCAGAGAAGCCATAACACACACTGAATGACAAAAACAGTCATTTGTGTAAATAAAATTCATACAGAGCAAACTTGTTTCAGCAAGTATTGAATTTCCAAATTTTCCGTGTGCTATTATCTTGCAGGAAGATGACAGTACTAGCTTTAAAAGGTCTTCTCTGCCCATCTCCTGCTCAAGATTGTATTGTTTTCTTTTCTTGAAAAGAGGGATTTTTTTTATCTTCCAGTAACACTGATGCTCGTTGTTAACCCAAACCCTCTAATGTAACAGGCAAACAGACACAAAGGCCCGTGCTGAGAAAGGAGGAGTGAAAAATGGCTATTTTTTACTCCCCCTAATCTTAATCAGTCTTTTTAAAGTACACGAGATGAAGTCATTGGATTTATGTAGTGCCCTGTCTATAGAAGCTTCTGAGAATTCCTATACAACGTCTTCTTCGTGGCCAACATCTGTCCTCAGAGCAACACTTTCTACCTCCTTTTACAGGGTACCGAAAAGGCTGGTTAGCAGATCCACAGATTATGTGAGTCTTAAGATACATGCTGTTTAAAATTTCCTGATGCCCAAATACAATAAATTTAAGTGTACTTCAGGAAATAGGTAACATTTACCGAGAACTTCCATAAAAGCAGAACAGGCTGTTGGGAAACATGAAAATAATTTTCCATTGTTTTCAAGGAGGTGTATTTTTTTGAAGAGCAAAGCCCCAACACACATTATAGGTTTCATTTTGTTTCCTTAATAACAAAGTATTCATCTTCTAAAAACAACCCAGCAGTAAAAAACAGAGAAAGAAATTTCTGAGAGAATACGGACTAGGTGAATCACAGCAGGAATCGGAAATATTAATTATGGTTAAACCTTTCTCTCTTTAACTCACGCCCCACGAATGGAACAGGAGTGTTGTTATTTCGGAAGGTCTCTGGTAAAATATTGTGACTGTGCCTTCACCTGCTTTGTGTGATGCGTGTGACTGTTTTCAGACACTAGAGGGGGCCTCAGATTTAAAGAAACAAAAGGACTTTTCTCATCTGGTGTGTGGTTCACTTCGCCTTCTGTAAAGCCGTCCTCTGGCTCTGTCACTTAACAAATAAAAGTCATAATCCGATGTCTCTTGGAGATCCCGAGCAGTCTGTTACTGTTGTTCCGGCACAGGGTCGGCAAGCACTCGGTACTCCCCGTCGAGTCACTTTGTGTTTTTGGTTTTTATTTATTTTTTTTATTTATTTATTTTTTTTTTATTTATTTTTTTTTTTAATTTTTTTTTTTCAACGTTTATTTATTTTTGGGACAGAGAGAGACAGAGCATGAACGGGGGAGGAGCAGAGAGAGAGGGAGACACAGAATCGGAAACAGGCTCCAGGCTCTGAGCCATCAGCCCAGAGCCTGATGCGGGGCTCGAACTCACGGACCGCGAGATCGTGACCTGGCTGAAGTCGGACGCTTAACCGACTGCGCCACCCAGGCGCCCCATGTGTGTTTTTGGTTTTTAAATACTTACATCACGGATGCTTTTCTGTCTCTTAAAATTGGGAACATCTGAAACTCCTTTTCTGGAGTCCTTGAGCGACAGCCATTTCATATGTAAGTGTCCGTGAATGTGTTAACACCGGTCGCCTTACTGAGTTAGCATCAGTGTCTGGACTGGGAGTGTAACCATAGTAGATAAATATGTGGGGATTGGCGAACACGTTTCTCGTTACTGCGCCCAGTGGCAGCCCTTCCATCCAATATTTTAGGGTGAAATAAAATTGACCTTTAAGTGTTCGTGGTCCCTCTACATGGAGAGAGTCTAGTTTCCCCGTCTGAGGCCGGCCTATCGTGCACGGGAAGGGTGGGTCACGTCTCCCAGGTCGATGCGGTGCCCCATCCGTGTAAGCGTGCAGAGTTCCCTTCCCAGTGTAGCCCAGTCATTTCTGTGTAGACCTCGCTTCCTGATGTGCCGGCAGATGTGGGAGTCTGAGTAGGATCGAACGATGTATCAAGGCACTGCACAGACAACTTGAGAAGACAACAGTCTCCTGTGACCACATGACTTTTCTGGCCCACTTACTACTGTGTCCAGCGACTGCCCGGCCTGAATCTCATCTCTCAGTTTCCACAACACATTGCCTGTTCTGGTCTGAAAAGGGGTCCGCTGGTAGCTCTGTGTGGAATTTTAAAATTTGGCCTCTTGCTATCACTGTGTCCAGCTTGACTGAATAGCTAACTTGATTTTTTTTTGTTTTTTGTTTTTTACTGGTATAATTCACAACCATAAAATCACTGTGGTTTTTATTTTAGAGAGTGCACATGAGCAGGGAAAAGGGCGAGAGAGAGAGAGAGAGAGAGAATCTCAGACAGGTTCCACATTCCGCCCAGAGCTGGATGTAGGGCTCAGTCCCTGACCCTGGATCATGCCTTGAGCCGAAATCAAGAGGCCATCCCTCAACCGACTGAGCCAGCCAGGCACTCCTGAAATTCACCAGTGTAAAGTATACAATTCAGTGATTATTATATTCACACAGTTGTGCAACAATCACTAATTCTAAAACATTTCGTTATCCTCACAAGAAACCCCATATGCATGAGCAAGTTCTTTGCCATTCTCCCCTCTGCCCAGTTCCTGGCAGCTGCTACTGTACCTTCTGTCGCTGTGGAGTTGACTCTTGGGGACATTTCATATATCAAGTCCCAAAGTTGGTATTTAAAAAAAAATTTTTTTTTTTAATGTTTGTTTATTTTCGAGAGAGACACAGAGTGTGAGTGGAGGAGGGGCAGAGAGAATCTGAAGCGGGTTCCAGGCTCTGAGCTGTCAGCACAGAGCCCGAGGTAGAGCCCGAACTCACGAACCACGAGATCGTGACCTGAGCTGAAGTCTGACGCTTAACTGACTGAGCCACCCAGGTGCCCCCCCAAAGTTGGTATTTAAAACTGGATATACTGCTGGGGCGCCTGGGTGGCGCAGTCGGTTAAGCGTCCGACTTCAGCCAGGTCACGATCTCGCGGTCCGTGAGTTCGAGCCCCGCGTCGGGCTCTGGGCTGATGGCTCAGAGCCTGGAGCCTGTTTCCGATTCTGTGTCTCCCTCTCTCTCTGCCCCTCCCCCGTTCATGCTCTGTCTCTCTCTGTCCCCAAAAAAATAAACGTTGAAAAAAAAAAAAATTTTAAAACTGGATATACTGGAAAACCCGAGGAATTTTTTATAGCCAGTTCCTATGGTATACAACATTTTATCAGATGTTGTATTAAACGATAATAGGCAGAAGGCCAAAATAAGGGTGTAACATTTGTCAGTCAATGAAGACAGCTCAACTCTTACTATCAGTCACCTACCAAAGCAGTCATGAATAATAATAATAGTGAAAGGTGAGGGGCTCCTGGGTGGCTCAGTCAGTTAAGCATCTGACTCTTGATTTCGGTTCAGATCAGGTTCTCACAGTTCCTGAGATCGAGCCCCATGTCAGGCTCTGTGCTGACACTGCAGAGCCTGCTTGGGATTCTCTCTGCCCATTTCCCACTCGCATGCATGTGCTGTCTCTCGCTCCCAAAATAAATAAACTTAAAAACATCTTTATAAAAAATGTTTAAAAACCGTAAAGTTTGCCTCCGATCTGTCTACCCAGTGTTGTTATGCTGAACGTTTTCTACACCTGAGTTGCCCATCAAGCCATCCTTGAAGATCCTGTCTTCTCATTCTCTGATCGCGTGCATTGTTAGATGTCTGTTGCACCTTTCTTAACAAAATCCGGAGTGAAAATTAATGAAATTAATGACTGCGTTTCCATTTTGACTTCCAAAGGTAAATTGGAGGATCCTTGAAACTTGTATTACGTTCATGTTTTATAAAATTAATGTCTTGTCTTAAAAACAACAACAACAACAACAACAAGAGAAAACCAGACAAAACAACACTGGCGTCTCATTTTGCAGATAGCCCAGACCACGGACGTAACAAATTGGAGAGAGAACTTTCCACAGCCGATTTCTAGTTGCCTAAATTAGGCTTAGTAGTCTTATTACTGGTTGGGCTTACCAACTGATGAAGTAATTTGTGTGAGAGTGCTGAATAAAGTCTGGTTGAATAATTTTTCTTACGGCAGAATGTGCAAATTGAAGTCCATCTTTGATACTTGTGTTTTGGCAACTGTACCATCGGCATTGGAGCCCAGACTTTCCAGCCTTCCCTTTACTGCTCCCTGCTCGAGAGCAGTCCTTCTGCTTCCTCCTCTCTGCTTCCCTCGGCTTCCGTGATTCGGGAAACCGAGCCGTAACTCCTCTATCTTGGTGTAAATGGGACAGTCAGACAGGGTGGTGTAAGCACTTAAATTTCTCACTGAAACCAAAAGAATATAATACTGATGGTATTATATAACCTCTATCTGGCATCAAGTTCGAATCCACTGTTGTTAGGAATGTAACTGTAAGAAGGCTGCTCTATACTTAAATCTCACTTTATTTGCTTCTCTGGGGTTGTCCTCGTGTTTTCATTAGAAATGTTTTTACAGATGTAGGCTCTTCAGATAT